ATTCACCTCCCTCAAGTAACAGAAATAAATTACTTGGGCATGCACATAGATGCAAAGCTTAATTGGAATCCACATATCTGGACTAAAAGACAACATCTAAATTTAAAAACAATTAAACTTAATTGGCTTCTTGGATCTAAATCAAAACTCAGTACACAAAATAAATTGTTACTGTACAGTTCTAAAACCAATTTGGACTTATGATATTCAGCTTTGGGGATCAGCAAGTACCTCAAACATTGAAATTATTCAATTATCAATTATCAATCATTGTGAAGTTTGTAAAACATTCGTTGCCTTGGTCGGGTCGTGCTCTGGTCGCATGATGAACGACAACGACTGGTCGGGTGTTTGGTCGTGGTCGTGGTCGGGATAGTGCGTGCCTGCCCTAATGTTATTTAAATTGGTATAAGTATGTCTTATTTATGGAAATATTTTAGTAAACATGTAATCATACAAGTTGAAATTCGCTTAGTCTGCAGTTTTGGTGCAGCGGGGGTATTTTATTTGTAGACCTGTGTTATGATTTGTAGTGAATTTGATCTTGCAGTTGAATGGCTGAGTGGTCAATAAGTCTAGCTATAAAACATTTGAGGTATCAGATTCAAGTCACCAACTTGGAGGGGTTAATTACAAAAATTGATAAATGCTGTTTTAATAAAACAGTACTATTGAGTTCTTGTTTTCTTAAAACACATTTATTATGGTTGTTATTACAACAATATCATACCCGGCGTTTATAAACAAACTTATATTTTGGCAAAGTTTTAAAGCTGTGTATCTGGGCAAGCTAGTTGCATCGGCTGAGTACAACTGTTTCCAAAATACTCCTATGGCGGGTTACGGGGTTACACACCGGTATCTCCAGCATGATGTCGCAGATATTTTTCAAGCCTGCGACTGCCGACATTCCCTCTTGAAAATTAACCTATGTTAACTTAGGGTAAAAACACAGTGGAGCAGGGCAGGTAGCTGGTAGCCTGGCTGGTCGCTTACTCGCTTACTGCTGGTTACCTGGAGGGTAGCTGGGACATACACACAGTGGCGCTCAGTACAGTCGCTTGTCAGCAGCCGATACTAATATTATCACTTATAATATTAGTGGTATAGGATAAACTTTTGTTTGAATCCTAGTTCATTCGCTATTTCATTCTACAGATCGTTGAGTACGTGACGTTTGTGGTGGTCCGGATGGGCTTGATTCCACAATGGCACACGGATAATAACCTCTGATATTAATTTGTCTATGTCCATTTTTTTATTTCATCTAAACAAAACAACATCCAAATAAATCAACTAAAACAAACAACACTCCGTATACAAAGAATGCGCAGTGAAAGATCCCGCGTGGAACTTGCGAACTGGAGAACACGTGGCTGTCAAGTGTCAAGTTCTGCTATTTGCGCATGCCCCAGTCGAGCCTTCCCCGCTTGCAGCTCCCAAACAATCGACTTGGCAATTCTTCTAGCTTGCCGCCTAGCTTACTGCTACCGCGTCGGCTACCTGCTAGGGGCGACTGTGTGTGTACCCATAACAACGCGTGCTTTAATTCTAGATCGCAGTAAGGGAGTAAGCGACCCGCCAGGCTATCAGCTACCTGCCCTGCTCCACTGTTTTTACCCTTATTTTACCCTTCTACCAGTGTCGCAGACACGTTGCCTCGCGTGTGTCTCGAGCGAACCAACCGGTCGGTGTTTGGACAGACATGTCTCTTGTCTCTTGGGCCCGCGCATGCGCAGAACACGTTTCTAGTAGTTTTGGAGCTTTTTTACTTACTTAATTGCCTTATGGTGTGAAATGTAGTATTGTGATATTATAATACTTCAATTGACACTATAAGGAAACTACGTGAGTACTGTAATACAATTAATTACAATGTATTTTGGTAAAATTACCATGAAGTTATCTTTAATGTTTTTGTAGAAAGAACAACAGCAACAACACATCATCTTCTTATGACGATGACATTATTTAAACTGATGAATGTTGTGATTCCTTCACTTTCATGTCATCAGCACGTGCCTCTTCCCATGGTTGTATTTTATTATATGTCGCAGACATCATGCCCGCGACATCAGAAATATCGGCGACATTATGTCTGCGATACCGGTTTGTAACCCACCGTGTTTTAAAAAGAAACGGCGATGACGCAAAGATGGAACAGCAACAGATTTAACCGAGAGGAGGGGAAATATCGATGGCTGTGGTGGGAGAGCTAAAGACAGGTAGAGCCGTTGGCCGCATGCCCCGTGCCACTGCACGGCGCCTTGAAGAGCGCTTGCAAGCCTTTCGAGTCTGCGTGATTACATGGTTATCCTTCAACTTTTTAGTAAACTAACTGCAGATTCTTGTTTTCAAGAATCTAATGCACGTTTCCCGTTTTTTATTTTTTCTCTAAAAATTATTTTAATGCGTTAAAACTTCTGATAAAAAATCGGTTCACAATTGGGGCTACAAACAGGAAGAACTAAAACCCTTACATTTGCGCGCGCCGAACGGGTAGAGCGCACCCTTAAAATATGAAGTTAATTATCAAAAATTCGCATAATAACACAAATTATTTATTAAATAAAACATAAACACAACTTTAAACAATCCTAATTTGACAGTTCTAATTGTGTATCACAGCTTTTTGCTGCTTAGTTTAAATTAGCTGTTATCATAAATGCAAAAAAAATAATAGTGCTGCAACCTGTTGGTAAACCTTGTAACCTTTTAATGCTATAAATATCATAGAACCAACTTGTGTAGTTGAAAAAGCTGACAAAAGTATTTAATTCCTTTTAAATATGAATACTCATAAAGTTAACATGGGAAACTCCAGAGCCACTAGGGTAGAGCAAGAAAGGATTTTTGAGATAAAAATACGTCTATATGTTAATCGGGAATGTGAGCTATCATCATGGCAAATTTCAGCACAATCCGACCAGTAGTTAATGCATGATTGAACTTCAAACAAAAAAACAAACTTTCACTTATAATTTACTAGCAGTTACCCAGCGCTTGTTGCTGCGCTTAACAACTGTTATTTTAAATGGAAATTTGTTCTTTACGATGAATAATAAAAGTGTAAACCAAAAATAAAAATATAATATTTTACTTAATTGCCAGTGGATAAACAATGTTTTTGTTTTTTCATTAGGTGTATAAATAAATAAGTTTTTAGACGTACCACCACGTGAGCACGCAACATACAGCTGTCCGTGTGAAAATAATGCATTTTCTAAATTTAAACCGACGATAGTCAGGGATTGCTTCAATCAATTTTGGTGTAATTTTTTAATCGTCAGTCTGGTAACGTTGCACACACCTTTGGTGGATTTAAGTTTCGCATTAGTATTATTGGAAGTATACAATTTAATCTTACACATAGACCGGCTGTCAATTGGTTAACAGTACATGTAGACCACGGGCAAAAACCTGTGATTCAAAAAACAGTGATCATTTACTTTTTAATACGCTGAAATCGTGTTTGTAAATAATATATTCATGTTTTAGCGAATTACCCATATAGGAAATAAGCTATTACCGTAGGTCTCATGGTAAGACCAAGACCCGGGACCGATTAATTTTTTCGTTTTGAGAGGCCAAAAACACCATCCGTTCAAATTCATATACAGGGTGAATAAAAAGTCAATACCCCCCCCTCTAATATTTTTCCAAGTAAATATACAGATTTATCCTTTAGGTGGTCGAGCAATCTTAGCAGGAAGTTTCATTTTATTATTTTGAAATTTTTGAGTGCCCCCCCAAAAGGGGGGATTTGGGGGGCAACTCAAATATTTTAAATGTAAACCCCCTTCAAGTGACACCTCATTTTGAAGAGTTTACAAAAACTTAAAGAATGGTGAAAACTAGAGGTCGCTATCTCTTCTCTATCCAAAATGGTAGCCCGTCAAATGTTGTGGAAAATCAACGGTAAAATTGTTAATATTGGCTGCCATTTTGGATAGAGAAGAGATAGCGAGCTCTGGTTTTCACCATTCTTTAAGTTTTTGTAAACACTTCAAAATAAGGTTTCACTTGAAGGGGGTTTACCTTTAAAATTTTTGAGTGTCCCCCAAAAGGGGGGATTCGGGGGACAACTAAAAATGTTTCAATAGAAACCCCCTTCAAGGGACACAGCCAATATTAACAATTTTACCGTTGATTTTCCACAACATTTGACGGGCTACCATTTTGGAAAGAGAAGAGATAGCGACCTCTAGTTTTCTCCATTCTTTAAGTTTTTGTAAACTCTTCAAAATGAGGTGTCACTTGAAGGGGGTTTACATTTAAAATATTTGAGTTGCCCCCCAAATCCCCCCTTTTGGGGGGGCACTCAAAAATTTCAAAATGATAAAATGAAACTTCCTGCTAAGATTGCTTGACCGCCAAAAGGATATCTCTGTATATTTACTTGGAAAAATATTAGAGGGGGGGGTCTTGACTTTTTATTCACCCTGTATATATATACGAGCAGAGTACCCGCTCTTCGTATGGGGTTGGCATATTAGTATAAAATACTTATTACAGTTATACCTACTCAAGCTTTACGTTTGCAATGGGGGAGGACACATTTGAAAAAAATTGTTTACTTTAATAAAATGTACGGTATACTATAGTATTTACCATTATGGTACCACTATGATAACCATAATATTCTACCACTTCACCTAAACAATAGAGAATATTATGTTTTGATTTGGAGCGACTAGGAAAATCTGCCTTTTATTGTCACCTTCAGAGTAAACTATTTCCGAGGCTTTTTCAATAGCTCTGCATGTAAACAAGCCAGACAGCGCAGCTTGTGAATTCCCCCTCTGAAATTCGAATTAGCGAGGTTCTACTGTAAAATGTATATCATTTTAAGTTTTGTGGCTCACATAACTTTACCTTATGGGTACTTTCGTTATGGGTGGTTTAGTTTTGTGGCTTTGTACCTTAACTTGGGTATTTAAATTTCAAAGGTGCTTTTAGCGAATTTCCCATATAGGGAATAAGCTATTTTACTTTTGCAGGATGTTTCAAGCACTTAATAAATCAGGTTATTACATTAGCTCTAAAAAGAAAGAAAAGATAGATTCAGAGGATGACATTACTAAAGAATCAATGAAGATTGGAAATGGAGAAAAGCATTGTGAATTAAAACTGTGGATAAAGGATCTCATCACTGTACAAAAATGGGAAGATGAATTTTATTGTTATCATGGCATTAAGATCAATATAGTAGATATATATGGAGTAATAGTTGCAGTACAAAGCAACAACTATGGTGTTTCTTATACAGGTAAGGGTATAACTGTTTCATTTAGATATTATTTTAAATCCAGTGAATAAAGAGCTTTAGATCATAGAAAACTTAAGCTTAAGTGTTGCAATGTTTCTGATGTCTTGAAACAAGTTCTTCAATGGAAAAGGCCATTGGAATAGTTGTGGTAGGCCTAACTTAGTAAGTTGGAGAATACTAGTTTACTGTTCAGGTTAGCCACTGCCTCTAGGCCATCACTGCATGGGGACATTTAAATGCCAGATAGTTTTTTCTCTTAATAATAGTATTTTTCTTTACTATAACCAACTGGCTTGTAAAGTGACCTGTTTCTGTACTAAATCATCTAAAGTTGTTTTTATCTTATTCAGCCAATGAGTGATTTATGCACTGTAAGCCTACATGTCCTGATGCTATGGATGTTAATAATGTGCCCCAGTTTGAATAAGAAATTTGAGAAATTTAATTTCAAAATTGTCTAGTAATTTTTAAGACAGTAAGCACTCTCCTTAACTGTAAATCATATAGTTCAAATTTATGTCAAACCATTTAGTTGATGATGGAACCGGAGAAATAGATTGTTGGTATGACAACCGACGCAGAGCAACCACAGAAAAGTTGTTTAAACTGATGGAAACAACTGAACTTAGTGTTATTGAAAGTACCAATCAAGATACATCAACAGTACCTTCAATTTTCATGGAAACTTCCACTTCTTACATTTGTGAAAATAAGCCTGAGGTATGTAAAGTTTGGTAAAAGTAAAAATAGATAATTTCCAAAATGGCCTCGCCCCTTTATTTTGATTCATTGGGGTTTTATTGTGTTTACATTTGAGCTACTTTGTTCTTGACTATAGCCATACTTCCTAGTAAGTAATATTCTGTGTTATCAGGGGAGGTTTAAGAGATTTAATCACATCCTTTAGACATATTTTGACCAATCCATGAACTAAGACTTAAATTAGTAAATAGTGGTTAAAAACATATTGTACAAGTGCTTAAAGTATAGGCCTACATATTATTAGGCCTACATTTTACGAGCCATTGTTCATGCTATTTCTACCAAAATTGTACCGAATAAAACCTGTAACTTCATAAAAACATTTGAAATTTTCTATTCTAAAACTTAATTTCACTATTATCTGTTACCATTAGCCAACCCGTTGTAAAATTTGTTGTAAAACGGTCATAGTTTTTGTTGAAAATTAATACTAGTATAAATAGCTGTAAGGTCTTAAAATCTTAGATAGATTATCTAATAATTTTCAATAAAATTATGAGAAACCAACTATACCAATGGCATATTTGGTTTAACACGTTAAGTGCCACGCCGCCCCGATCGGACCGGCACAGGTAGGCCGGGCGGAGGGGGCGGCGCCAGGGTTTTGCAGTGTTTCACCAAATCGCCGCTAGAGTTCACTGGTGGACTACTAGCAGCAATCTGATGAACTTAATCGGTAAAGTACATCCCGTGCCTCACAGATGGCGTTGCCGTAGCCTTGTACAGTAGAGTCCCGCAAACTCGGCGTAATGTGGACTGAAAGGGTGCCGAGTTTGTGAAATGCCGGGTTATCGGGAACTAGGGTTAAAAATAAGACCACTTACCATCTTTTTTGTATATTTACCGTCTTAACAATATAAGCGTAAATATATGTTTTAAGTGTTATAAGACGTTTCTTTTATTTTCTTTCCTTAAAAATAAGAGCAATACAGTTTCTAAGCTTTTTAACCGCCTTTTTTTATTTATATTTATATTACAAGTCAGTATTAAGTCATCAGATAAAGTACCACAAATCCTTAGTACCAGTTTAGAATAATTTGACTTAAGCTGGCTTGAGTCCATGATTAACTCGGACTCAAAAAATCACTAATTTTCTGAGCCAGGTGATGGCCGAGTTATCCAGACTGCCGGGTTATCGAGTGCCGAGTTTGCGGGACTCTACTGTATTGCTGCCACAGCATTCTGTAGAGTCTTGTAAATTTGGTCTAAAAGTTTGACTTCACGTAACTGTTGTACATTTGATTTGATATAAGTTGTTGTAATAGACTGCAAATACACCACTAATAGTAATAATTTACTAAAGCCAAGAAAGTAATTGTTATTTGACCTCTTTCCACAATAATTAAATCACATACTATTTGTTATTTTTGGGTGAGATTGAAAAAAAACATTTTATTTTTATAAAAATTTATTGACAGAACATTTTTAACTATGTTATAACGAAAATACAAGATTTAAATTCATGGGCAATGCCGTGGAAAATACAAAAGTGTATGAGAATAAAAAGTTAGTAAAAGTCTAAAAGTTTAAAAATGTTTTAAGTAAAAGTAAAAAGTACTTGTTTTGAAATATACTGCTTTTTAAAATTCATAAAAGCAATGTAATTTATAAATGTATAATAAAAAATGTGTTAGTAAATAATAATATACATTTCTGCTGTCCTTTGTGATTTATCCATGGAGGTTTCTGAAACAGTCTTTGCACAAAAATGGCTTTTCTGGGCACATTTCACATAACGTAACTTTCGTCATTTTCTTTGCTACTTGGCGTCCATGTTCATTTGCAACTCGTTGATAACATACTTTGCAGTACTTCCTAGATCTTCTCCGTTTTTTTCCTTCTCCAGTGAATTTGGCTGTTTCAGAGAGGTAATGGTGACCATTGGGTGCATTCACGGGTTCTACAGTTACTTCTTGGATATCAAGGAGAGAATACACAAGCTTTTCCTTGAATGTGGTAATAGAGGTTCCAGGTTTTCGCCTGTTTTGTCCGTTAGCAGCTTCGTTTTCCTTGTAGGCCAGCCAAGCGTTTACCACAGCTGTTCCCAAAAGGATTTCTTCGGCTAATTTGTGGTACCAGCACATCGATTTACGCACTGCTGTTCTGTAGAAAGCCATCTGGTCCGACAAATCAATACCCATTTTCGCCTTGTTATATTCCACAACACAAGTGGGCTTCAGAATAGGCTCATTGTTTCTGGTTCTCTTCCGAGTTTTAGAAAGTCCTACAGGGTGTTTCGTCGACATGACTCGAACTTCCCTCTTGTCTACCCATCTTGTGAACACCACGCCGTTGGGGTATTCCAAACAGCTCATTTGCCCTGGTTCTAAAGATTGATTTGCAGGGATTGTTTTTTTTTTTTTTTAGGGAACCAAGCACGGTTTGAAAGCACTGTTCCCACCAGGTGGGTATTCCTTGCTAACAAAATGTTTGCCAAATCAAGGGAAGTGTAAAAATTGTCCACGTACAACGTATGTCCCTAGTCCAAATAAACCTTCATTAGTTCCATCACAACTGATGTGGCTAAGGTTGAACCGTCATCTACACCAGTTCCTCTCCCCATATACACTTTTATTTTCAAAGTGTAACCAGATGTGTCGAAGATTTTGAACACTCTTATCCCATATTTATGGGTTTTGTTGGGAAGGTACTGCCTAAACAGCAGACGTCCTCTAAAAGGAATCATTGACTGGTCAACGACCAAATCTTCGCCACGTACTTTTTTGCGCTTGAAACATTTGTTCAAATGAGATATTAGGGGTAAAATCTTACCCAAGCGCCCATCCCTCTCCAGGTTATCATTGTCATTAAAATGCCAAAAACTCATTAAAAGTTGAAACCTGTTCCGAGCCATGACTCGGCTTGCCACTTGGTTTTTATACACGATCTTTCTCGACCAATAATCACTAAACCTAGGCTTTGGGACTAAGCCCATGTACAACAAGAGACCCAAACATTTTTTCATTTCCTCGAAGATTGTCGGTTGCTACTTCCTAAGCCTACTGCTACGATTAAGTCTTATTCTTTGCAGAACTTGGGCCGCGTTTCTGTTGGTCTCAATAACCATTTGATGGAGAATATCGTCTGTCAGGTATTGAGAAAAAAAATCAATTGGTTCAGCATTATTTGGCAAATCAAAATTAAATGTTGAGCTCCCATCAAAGATAATATTCTGCTGGTTTCCCTTTGGCAACTGCCATTTATCATCCTCCTCCTTTTTCATCTTAGCCTTGTCCGCCTTATTTTTTTACTTTCTGTATCTCTCGCTCAACGTTACATAGACAAAATTATTTTCTGCATTTTCAACCTCTTCTTCATTTACAATAGCATTATTTATGTCATTTACATTATCATTTTTAACTTAAACATTCTCAATGTTGTTCACATTTTCAACAACTTCTCCATTCACACCATCATTGTTTACATCATTCATACTCTCATTTTCCACTTGGACATTTTCACTGTCATTCAAATTTTCATCTAAATCTTCTAAATCCATTACCTGATCGTAATCAGAGCCCACACTGCCCAAAGAATCACTGTGCGCAAAGTCTGGGTCGTCCTCGTTGTCGTCAGTTAGGCCGCCCTCGCTTTCTCCACCAATGGAACAACCTTCACTAATATCCATCTCACTGGACATTGGGAAGTTCAATGCTCTGTCTATCTCACTATCAGAAAGATCACTCATAGTGAAAACTATAAACTAAACTATAATATCACTGAGTCACTCACAAGTAAACAAACTTACGCCATAGATAGCAAGAACTGAGTGAATGTCCCGTAGTCAAGGTAGTCAAGGGGATGAAGGGTAGGAGGGGTGGGGAATGATGTGTACAGCACAGAGACGTGTACGAAACCATATGTTGTAACCAGATTTGGCGGGAAATGACGTTTCTGCCAACCGCGCATAGTAAAATACCCTAAAATACCGAAAAATTACCTGCGGTCCGATCGGACCGGCACTGATTTTTCTAGCGATATTTTGCTAAAAATTTTCACTTTTAAAAAAAAAATTTTTTTTATTGGTACAAATTTTATTTTTGGTCAAAATTGAATTTTTAATCTGGCTAAAAAGTAGCGTGGCACTTAATGTGTTAAGGGTATAATTATAAGTGAAAGGAGATAAAACAGGAATAGTTTTGGTAAAAACATTATGTGGGTTCTTCCAGAAAATGTAGTTGGAAACTCTGGGTTAGAATGCCGTTCATTTTTTCAAATGATGAAGTTCTCCCTTAGTTTGGCTTCAGTAGTCCCATGTGTTTCACGTCTCACTGAAACTTCTTAATAGAATTATTTTTTGTAGTCTATTTGAAATAATTATTTTTTGTATTTGAAATACAGTAGACTCTCTCTTATCCGGACTCCTCGGGACCGAGGCCAGTCAAGATAACGGGTTTTGCGGTTAAACCGACGTCCCCAAAAACTCGTTAAAACGGACTGTTTACTGTGATATTCAACTTAAATTTAGGAGAGCATTGTATTAAGACTTGTAAGACACGTGATCACTGGTCTCAAATCTTTCCCACGAGAACAGACGTTTCAATACTGCCCACTTCCTGCCGATATAGTCCGGTTGTACTGATAAAAATTGTCCGTTTAAAGAGATGTCATTTCCGCCGACTGTAGTCCGGTTAAACCGATGTCCGGTTAAAAGATGTCCGGATAAGAGGGAGTCTACTGTAGGTGTTATTTCACTTTGTTTGTACCAACACTTTAATCCTCAACCTTTTATACAATGTGTCTGTTTTAACTCTATAGTAAATCATATTATTTTAATCCTCTTGCAGGCAGAACAGTGGTTGAAAACACAGATTCTTAAGGAGCTTGATAAGCCTCCTTTTGGCCAAGGAAATACAATTCAGATACGTGGTAAATTGGCTGACTTCAGAGGTAGTCGCTGCATACGTATCTACAATATTCGTATCCTTTTTAGCGAATTTCCCTATAGGGAAGTAATTTGAAATAGCCAAAGTCAAGAAAAAATTCAAAGTGGTGTTCGCTTTTATTACACTCACAGCCGTTCAAATCAAATTACGAATATAAAAAGTAAAACATCTTCTTGCCCATAAAATTTCAATTATTTTATATCATGTTAAGCCATATTTTAAAAGGCTTATGTTAAGAAATATGAAATAAACTTAGAGTAAAAAGTGAAATCTTACAGTTCTCACATCCTCTGACGCCACAGTGCGTACGTATCATGTTATGTTATAGTTTGATTTCTTTTTATGCAAAAATATGTTTAAATACTTATATTACTTTATGATTTGAGTATTGGGTTATAATGGTATAATCAATACTAACCCAATATTAGCAGGGCAAAAATAAAACATTCCTTCATTGTGGATGTAGCCTCCGGATTGCCAAATAATATTAAAAAGGTTTAAATACCTGCTATTAAGCAATCCATTTAATTGCAGTTGCAACTAGTTTCGACTCCTATGTGGAGTCCAGTCTGGACTTAAACTCCGTCGGGTTAGCGTCGTCTGTTGTCGTAACTGATCAGTAAATGTTTCGTGTCCGTAACGTGTTTTGTGTCGTGTGTAAATGTTTATTTATTTTTACTTGTTAAATATGACGCTCTTCATATGAAGAAAGAAGAAGTCCTTGTACCGCCTGATGATGACTCCACATAGGAGTCGAAACTAGTTGCAACTGCAATTAAATGGATTGCTTAATAGCAGGTATTTAAACCTTTTTAAAACATTCCTCCTTCAACCGTTATGTTTGATTAAAATTAAAAACATATTAATAGGTTATCTTTAAATTTACTATTCATACATGAATACATTCGTCCTCTTAGTTAGGTTTCTAATATTGCGATTCTAATTTAAGTTCTTAATATTGTGCGCATGATGTAGTTTGAAATAAATCTTTTAAATACATGACGACCATTTCAGTAACTAAATATCTAATATGAAATTAACGGTCCTAATTGGTTGGTGTGTTTCGTTGCTGGTTAGGTTAAATGTTATTATGTATGTTTCTGAACTCAATGCTCCCCTCCCACTGCGATACGGCGCACGGTCGGTTGGCTGGCTTCAACGAAACTCGATCGTGCCCTCTCCTTAATGTTTGATCCTCCTAGGTGGCACGGTAAGACCTAGACCCGGGACCAATTTACTTTTTCATTTTGATGTCCCCAGAGGCCAAAAACACCATTCGTTCAAATTTTTATTTAGGTGTATATATATATACAGGGTGTTTTTAAAAGAATGTCGGGATTTCAAACGGTCGTTACTCGGGGACTCTTCAAGATACCTAATTAAATTATTTAAACTTCAAATTGAAGGGAAAAGAATAATTTTTTTTTTCTCATTCTTTGATACAATTCAGAATGGTTTAATAAAATTTAGATTTTCATCAATCTTATATGAGCGTAAAACTGGCAAAGTCTGTACGCTTAAGGCAATCGGAGGGTTTATCTGATGTCTTAACTGAATCTTTTTCGGCACAAAGACTCTATCTTTTATAGATAAAATCATCAAGTGACCAATTTAGGTTTGTTCAACTGAAGACTTTGTCGGGCAATCGATTTTATTGGGCTTCTGATGTAGAATTGTCGGATTTGTTCGACTATGTCATCACTTGTTTTTAGCCAGCCAGGTGAATGTCTTTTCAAAACTCTTCGGTGCTACAAAACTCATTAAACCAGCTTCAAGTTTCTTTATCATCAAGTATATTTAAATTTAGCAACGGATATAAACTATGCGAACGACAGATTGCAATCTGTGTCTTCTGTTGTGCCGTAAACGTCGTACTGGCGACTAGCGTCAAGCGTATGAGTCACGATAGCGGCCTAGCACCGCGCACCTGTTTTGCATATGCCAAGGCCAAAGTTTCCTCCCTTGCTACAAGGGAAACAAAACTTAGTTACCTTAAGTATCAACTTTGTAAATACTCTGCTTGTCTTTTTCACACTGGCAATTTATGATTGATTTTGGACAATGCACTAATATGTGTTAGAACTATTTAACACATTTGCTGCGGGCGTTGTATTTTTACAATGTGCATATTGAGTGCCAGGAGCTAGCCTTGTAAAAATACAACGCTGTGTCACTGTTGGCAAAATGGACCAGTGTGAGGCCAGCAGTCGAGCAATGTGCTAGCTGCATTTGTCGCTCCTGGGGAAGTTATTTTTAGACCTTTGTGCAATTGTTGTTTCCAGCTCCCGCCACCAGAGTGCTTGGAGCGGGGGTTATATTGTGACAGTGCCATGACGTGTATAAGTTAGTGTGCTGTTTGCTTGTCAGTGTGAGCTCAGCTATTGACGGGGAACGTTATAATCGTGGCCAACCTGTGGCTAAGAATGTGAGCTTTATTTTGGTGTAGGTTGGTACTAAAATTTCCCGTAAAATCCTGTCTGGCAATGCTTTTGTCCCGGTTTCGGGGATTTTCTCTCTTCGAGCCACATTACAAAGACACTGGCTACGGATTCAGTCAGTGCTGCTACCCTTGGGTGTTTCAGTGAACTATGTCCACTCTCGGGGTAACACAGCACAATCTCTGCTGTTCTTTTGTGATTCGTCAGACAGAAATATTTTAATGCCAATTGCGCTCGCTGATTTGATAGCGCGCGGGGCTTCAGGCGAGCGCCTGTTTGACGTATGCTCAATATTTTCAATACATATTTTTTGTATGTCTACAGTAAGATAGATTTATTTATAGATATTTTAGATAAAGTTACTCTACGGGGTAATCATTATATAGTAAAGGCCCGCCAATTTGGCATCCAATAGTCTGAACCTTTCATTAATCCAGCATCGGTCTAAAGGTCATAAACATTTTTTATGGTGTTTTAAGTCATTTTATTGCAATCGGCAGATGTCGGTAGCGAACATTCAAACTTTGGTAGCGATTGTTTAGACGTTGTAAGTGATCGTTCAGATGATGGGAGCGATCAGCAGATGTCAGTTGAAATCTTTATTTAGCGGTATTCCTGCTGGTCTCACAATAACGGAGGTTTTTAGAAGAAGTTCAATAATTCGGCACTTTTGATAATCTGAAATCTTCAAAGTCCTAAGCCTGCTGGATTAGCAAGCGCCTACTGTAGTTTAAAAATGTCATCCGACAAATATTTTTATCCACTGATAAATTTGCTTTAGATTGAGTAAATTTTTGACTGGGTAGAAAAAAATGTCTGACTTTGTCTTGAGATATGGGGTTTGAAGGAAATTTGTCAGTGGCTCAGTTAGTAGAAATCAATAGGAAAATCAATGCAGTGATATTTTTGAGTAAAAAAATATCCCTAATAATCATTCCCATAGTGTTGATAGGCAAGTGAAAGACTGGAAGAAGCTGATGATTTTTAAGAAGAGATTTTAAACTTTTCAAGTGGAACTAGATTTTAAACAAAAAATAGTCTTAAAAATTCTTATTGTCAACATGCTTTTGTCCTACAAATATCCCAGCGTAGAAGTAATTTTACATGTAGCTTATATGAAATCATGTTTTCCTTCATGTATGTAGGACATGTTACCAATATTGATGAAGAAACTGATAGAAGATTTGAGCTGATTCATCTTTATCAGACTATTTATCACACATGAAAGAGGTGTCTCAAATATAATAGGTATGTTAGTTTTACAACCTGGCTTATATTATGTTTTCTAGTTTTACACATTTAAATACACAATAGTTATTTGTGTAACTAGTGAGCAAAGTGGCACTTTGCTGCACACGAATGATCTCGAGTGCAGCAAAGGCCTTTTGCACTCGTGTTACACATTATATTTTCCCTACAGTCACTATAAAGCATATAAATAATTAGTCTTTCAAACAAACACAACACGTTTTTAGGTTCACCTGGCAACACAAATAGGTGCCCTAGAGAATGTAGTCACCGGTCCGTATCACTCCGCTATTTTTTCCTCAGCAAGCAATGTGCTCCGCGACTTGAGAAAATAGTTCCATATGTTTTTGTAATCTGAAGTGGTTTCCGCGCCTAAAAAAAGCTTTAAAGGTATTTTCTTGTTTGTTAAGATTGTAGGATTGTTTTAAAAACGTTTAAAAGAAAAGTCCAGAAAGTTCAGAAATACCGAAACTATATACACAAAATGACAGGTTAAATCGTAGTTATACAGTAGGACCTCAATATCTCGAATCTGAAGGGGTTATGATAAAAATTCGAGTTATCAAGTTTTTCAAGTTAGTGAGGTTCGAGTTATGAAGGTTCCATATGAAAAGGTTCGAGATACTAAGGTATTTGGGTCTGACAGTGATGTTACGTCACGACCTTTATAACTCGACTTTTACGTGTCAAACCTTTATAAATCAAACTCAAAGTGTATTTATGCATACTAAAGAGTAACTTTGGTTGGAAGCAAAATAAAACAATTATAATGCACATAAAGTAATGTATTTATTATTTGGCAATAAGTTTGATAAAGTACAGAAAAAAACATGTTAAATAACAAAAAAGAATTAGTTTGAATACTGTACAAAATACAAAACAATAATACAGTATATATCATCCATACTTGGAACTACATTTACTGTGTATAATTTCTGTTTAAAGCAAACGTTAGTCAAACTCTTTATATGTACTGTAAAAACAAGCTACTCTAACAAAAAAAAAAAATACTGAATAGGTACAATACTGTACATACAAAAAGTATGTAGAGAGTAATATTTAAAGGGAAAATACTAATGTGATTAAAATACTAAACAAAATACAACATAATGTAGTTTAAGTACTAAATATATTTTGGCAAAACGAGCAAACTACAACTACACGGGCAAACTACCCTGACTACAGTACCTAGCCAAACAGACACAGGAAGCAAACACAGGAAGTTGGATTTTAACGTCTCGGCAGGAATCAAGACACAAGTGACTTGCACTGTTTAGGCAAAACTTCGAATTAAAGGTAAACTTCGAGTTACTGAGGCTTGACGACGGGAAAATTTGAGATACAGAGGTAGAATGTTACTGTTCAACAGTTGTTAAAATTTGACTTATTGAGGTTAAATATTTAGAAACTTCGACTTATAAAGGTACTTTTAAAATTATGATTAATGTGGATTTCAAAAAAATCTAGATATTAAGGAACTCGAGATATTGAGGTTCGAGTGATTAAGGTTCTACTGTAATAGTCAATCAGCTGCTCATAGTATTATTATCTTTAAGTGTTGCCAGCCTATTTCCAAGCGTACACGGATTACGTGCATAATAAAACCACGCTGTTTTGTGTTGTTTCGTTGGAATCCTGATGTGTGCCAAAGTATAAACCGTACGACAAAGTATATGCAGCAATTAGCAGCTTTCTGTACTATAAACAGTACAAGGAAGCCAACTTTGTCAGATGACTGTAGGAAAAAAAACTTGACTATCTCAATACCTTCACTATGTATAGTTCTTCCACTCTGCTTGATCCACAATATCTTACTGTCTTTCTGTCATTAGCTCTCCAACGATCAATATGCATGTTGACAAAGCACATCTGCTGCTCGTTAACCATCTACAATGAGGACTGGTACTCGATATGCTGCTAGTAAGTTTAACATATCATACAGTATTACTATTTTCAGAGTATGCTTTTAACGAATTTCCCATTTAAGGAATAAGCTATTACCGTTGCTATCATGGTAAGACCTAGCCCGGGACCGATTTACTTTTTCGTTTTGAGGTCCCCAGAGGTCAAAAAGTTAAATTTATTAATCCAGAAAAGTTGACATAATGACAAAAATTTTTTTAATGCAAATTTTATCAACAATTTCATTACAAACTCAACAACACCAATTTATTAAAATCTGATAAACAACAAGCAAGTCATAGCGATTTTAACAAGTCCTGTCATATTCCATACGACTGGTTTGGAGGCCGGCGCGGAGCATGAGACCACAAACCACGGCACTCGACCATAATGTCTTCCAGCACCTTATTAACAACTTTTCATAATTGTTACTAATTTAACTCCATAAAATAACGTTTGATTATTTGTTGATTTTTATCAAAAACGTTTAAAAATTTAATTTACTGTAGTCTTTAGTCTGTTGAAACTATTTAAAATACATAGCCTATGATTTATCTTAATTGTAACTCAGATTAATATGTTAAGATAAAACCTAGTAGATTTTTCGAGGGAAAGTCACAATCTTATAAAATGGGTTTAAAGATACATCCTTGAACTTCAACACCCCACTTTCTGAGCGATTTCTAAGCGATTGCCTTGCTTTGGGAAAAACTTTGTGATTGTCTTGGATTACTCCAGCTGCCTCAGCAATACAAGCTACAGGGTCTTATTTCATCAACCACTGGAGTTTTGTAAGCAATGTCATCCATTCGTCCCCAAATAAAAAAGTCAATGGCGTTACCAAATACAGCTCCATACATTAAATGTATGTCACAGTACTTCTCTGTTGGATATAGTACCAGGGGACTGAGCATTGCTCTAGGTGTTTAATTTGTAGGAGACGTTAAAAAATAGGACGTTAAACATAGGTCTACATATGTACAATTCCCATGATACAGGGAGCGGCAGAAATATCTGACGGTTTTCAAGTGAGTACAGTCCGGCAGCCGAGTGGAGGGGGGTGGTGGGGAACGGCTCATTCTCAAGGCCAAGTGACCCCATTTCAGTCGCCATGGAGCAGTGGACCGGTATACATCGCGCGTTTGTCGTTGAGTCGTATTTTAAAAGTGGCGATTCTGTTGTTGATACGCAACGTAAGTTTCGTAGGCATTTTAATGTGGCTCGTGGGGAACCTATCCCATCCCGAAACACCATCAAATTGTGGGTGGATACCTTTAGATCCACAAGATCAACTGCAAAACGTAGGCCTACAGGCCGTCCAAGGTCAGTGAGGACGCCGGAGAACGTGGAGCGAGTGTGACAAGCTGTGCTAACGAGCCCGCATCGCCCGGAGCGTAGACAAGCTGTTGCTCTTGGCATGTCTGATCGCTCTATTCGACGAATTTTGCACTCAGACCTTCACTTTCACCCATATAAAATAGCAATCGTCCAAAAACTTCAGCAAAATTCGTCAACTATTTTTCGATTCATAAACCTTTATTCGATTTTATCATTATCAGCAAGTTTGGTTGGTTTGGTTAGGTTATGATAAGTTTAACTTCATAATTTAAAAATTAAAAATTTTAATTTTAGGCATTTGTAATTTTATTTTATGAACAGAACTATTTTTTTTGATTAGTAAACCTTCATTTGATTCTCCATTTTCAGCAAGTTTGGTTAGTTTGGTTAGGTTATGACAGTTAAATTAAATTTAAATTCAACCTACAAACGATACGTTCTAACAGCGACAGTGATAGAGCTAACAATTTGCCGCGAACAGTTCGCCTATGCACGGTATGATGCGGAAGCGTTCGACACCAACCTAGAACTGACAGGTCAACCGAACGTGATTAAGAGGATTACAGCCTGGGTCATGTCCCTACACCCGCATCAAACTTCACACAAACCATCCTTGAATAATGCTTAATAATGCCTGAAAGTTTCATTACAATCTGTCGAGCGGTTTCGGAGTCTATAATGTTCAAATATATATACATACAAATTTCCTTTTTTATAAATATAGATTATAGTGTAGACATAAAACCGCAAAATAGTAAAAACTGCAAATATACACTCCGAATACTCTCAGATGTGGTTATCTGCTGTATAATGTAGTTTCAAAGGCTGAATTTTAAGGGTTGGCAAGACAAAAAATGTCATAGTCTTCACCCTATGCTCTTGAGTCTAGAGCATATTTTATACGAGTGTAAAGAGGTTAGTTTTTATACTGAATCACATTATAATGTGTCTAAATAATACAATAATTTTAAAACTAAACTATTAATTTGGAACTCTACTTAACCTATAAAAATATATACCTTATTTGTGTTACCTGTAAATCATCTCCATTTTCAATTTTGCCACGTTAAATTAAGTTGTAAAGCCAATTTCTCTTTGGTTAGACATCCCCTCTTCATTCTTAATTTAATTAACAATAAATTCCATACACATGAACAATCAATATTGAAAACATCTACAATAAAGTTCAATAACAAACTCATAATAATATTTAACACCTCAGCTGTTGACCAGCATTGTTGCGAGTTACGTTACGAATATTATGTGCTCTCTGGTTGCGTCATGTTTTGTCATTAAAACACGGAACGTCACAACAATGGGATCGTAGCAGTAAAATATGGCCACATCTATTACGCCACATCAACTTTGTATCAGAAATTCCCAAAAAAGTCGTAATTATCAACTGTTAAAAAAAAAGAAAATTGTTTGTGGAAAGTGGATTCTTAAAAAAGCTGCAATTATAAAATTACTGGGCTCAAAAAATGAAAATGCTTCCGGCACACCATATGAAGTCATGGCTTTTGTAAATGGACTGTTATTTACTAAAATGTTAATTTTTTTACTGTTCTTTAATTTACAATAAACATGTTGAAATAGACAATAAAAATACAATTCAAACTACATAAACAAAATATGAGTGGATTTAGTCATTGTGTCTTACTGCAACATCCAGTGGATTTAATCTGTTTAAGAAAATCTCAAAGAGAGAAAGAGGGGATATAATGGTGAGGGGTCTATGTTATTTACAAAACCAAAACCAATACCTAACCACTTAATGTGCATGTTACAGAGATTCCATCACTTACAGGAGTCAGAGTGGAGGAATGTGGAAGAAGGCTGGAGAGGATTTTGAAATCGCCGAAAAAGGAGCTGCGGGAGATCAATCGTTTGGCATCTTATTTGAGGCAAATTGAAACGATAGACCTGACATCAGAGCCTGACATTGAACCCCCAGCCCCCAACAACGAATTCATGCAAATATTAAACGAGTTAAACTTACTATAAAAAAAGGTGTATATTTTTCCTTCCATTGACTAATACACATTCCATTGTTTTGAAGCTTGTGGTTTATGTATGATGATACTGATTGCTGAAATTTTGTTTCATAGTTTCATAATTTACCGCTTAACTTAAGGATGAGTGTTTATAGTACTTACTTTTGAAACGTGTAGACGCTAAAGATCACAAGAACAGAATGATTGTGAACAAAATCAGCTGAGTAAATGATATATGTAAGATTATCCCCCACCTCGTAGCTGGGAGATTAAACTACAAGGTTTTTTTTAAGGGGCGGAAGTTGAACCTTCAAGGTTGCAAGGCTACAAGGTTAAGTGAACAAGGTGAACCACTAATGACCCTGGGTTTCAACCTTCAAGGTTAAATGAACAAGGTAAAGTACCAATCAGTCTAGGCTGCAACCCTAAGGCTGCAAGGAACACGGTATAAAATGATCGTAGGAGGGAGGACCCCGGAAGGTGACAAGAAGGAAGGTGTGGGGTAGGTTAGGAGGTCGTTGAATAGGTATAATAGATTGTGTTTCTGAAGCAATACCTCAGTCACAACCGACTCCTACGCCATTGACGGGTGGCGTCGTCCTGTAATCCAGCTACTAGGAGGTCACGAGTTTTTAAGATCGCGCCACTCATCCTACACTCATCTCCATTCATACTTGGCTTAAAATACCTACTTTGTATGGTCGCCATTTAATAAGAAAGTATTAAAAGTATTGGCATAGACTTCGAGAGAACACCTGCCTGCACCCAGGGCCGGGGATAGCAGCTAGTAAGGGCTAGACCACTCTTTTGATGTTTGGCAGAAGCCGCCACGCCAGGTAGTGGGGGGTCGGCGACCGCCTGATGTCACGTGGTTGCCTCGCCCAGTGCTTCTGCACTGAACCGCTTGTTTTTTTTGCATTCAATGCGCTAAGTATGTACTGTAGTTCAGTTTTAATGTTAGCTGTGGTTAGACGTGTTCTGAAGTCAAATAATATGTGACTGACTGATAGTTTGTTTATGATTTTGATCTGTTTGCTATGGAACTATTGTTTGTTAAATCCCGGAGAATGTGGCACTGGCACAAAGATGAATCGCGATGGAATACCCGATTTGATCAATTGCAAAGACTGTAAAAGTAAAACAGATATAAATTAAAAAATACAAACTGAATAAGTAATCTTAAAATCGCAACTGAAATTAGCTAGACGAAAAAATAAAGTTTTAGCTAGCATAAAACGTAAGAATATCTTGCAGCTCTAAAAAGCTAAAGAGCACGATTGAAATTGTAGGTGTTTACAAAGTACCTATGTGTTTTGAAAAAAAACTGTAAAAAACAATTAGCTATAACTAAGTGGGCTGAGAAAAACATGACTCCTATGCAAATACAAAACAAATAATTAATGATTAATAAAAAATATAGGTAAAGGGCAAACAAACAAGGAAAGAAACGAAAAAAGCTACAAAATGGACAAATTTCAACAAGTAAGAAAAGACGTTGTATATTTTATTAATGACATTATTACGATGTATTGATGTATTAAATATTGGTAATAAATATTTTCTATAACTAATATATTTTGCGTAGGTTTATTTATTCTTCACCACAACATTGGAGTTCTAGAACTAGAGCAGAGGTTTTAGTGAAATGTTATGTCAGGGCTGTTTAAGTGTCCATGCTCGCTGTGTAATTGTAAAGCTGGGTTTTCCTAGGCGCGGAAGCGGAGATCGGAGAGAGGAACGCGGAGAGCGGAATTGAAATTAACATGCCATTCCGCTCCGCTTCTAGGAAAACAGTAACATTAAATTGCCTAAGACAAGTGGAGTCCGCTCTCCGCGTTCCTCTCTCCGCTCGCCGATTCCACGCCTAGGAAAACCCGGTTTAAGTGTTTACACATTACTCAAAGTTTTTAGTTTTATTTTAACATAAAACAAAGGTAGCATGTAATGAATGGAAAACCATTTACTTTTTATTGTCTTAGTTTAGCTATAATTTATATTTTGTAAAAAAAAAATACAACAGACTTCAAACGCTCTAAAAAGAATGACATAATTTCAACAAAGTAAACTTTTGTATTAGTTGAGCTCACGTATTTTAAGTCGGCACGGCTCTATGATGATTTTTGATACAAAATTTAAAGAGGATGTCCACATTGCAGGTGTAATCTATTACTAAAGGTGTTAATCTGCATGTCTTTTTCATAGTTATGCGTTGGGTGTTATTTTATTACTGTAGCCAAAGATCGGCAGATACCATCTTAACTTTTTTTAATAAGATAGTAAATTATAATCTTATAGGTAGTGGTATTAATGAGAATCTTAAAAAGATCCTATATATCATAATATCACAATAAATTATCATCCTATTCATATAGAACATTTGTGTGTGTTATTTTCATAATGCATTCATTCTGAAGTAAACATAAAATACAAGAAAATACTTCCTTTGATATATAAACAAAACAGTTCAGTATGTTTTTTATATATATATGTTATCCAGCTACAATTGATTGATTTTCCATGGAAAGCTTATAAAATGGTACTGTTAGCGAATTTCCCTATAGGGAAGTAGCTATTTTTAACATATCCCGACACTTTCTTGTATACAGGGTGTGAAAAATGCAATAGACCATTGTTTTTTTTTTTTTTTTTATCAAACATCTTAATTTTTATCTTTGAATCTATTTACAATGGAGTTTTTATAACTGATCCTCTGTCATTTTCTATTATTCTTGTTCAAAATTTAATGTAGAACACGAAAATGACATTATCTACTCAAATTAATATACAGGTAATTGAGAAATCGCTGCATTAAGTTTAAAAGCATGATTATTTTTGAAAAACATAAAATAATTTTTTGGGAAGCTAATTTTTAGACTTGGAACATTTGATATGCATCATCACACTTCATTAACTTTGTACTTACACCAAAAAAATTTTGTCACACTGAGTACCAATCACCCTGTATATTAATTACTTGAGGTTTTTCGATAAGCAAATTTGTTTGAAACAATCAAAACTTCCACAGAACAATCATTAGTTTTAATTTTAAAACTACTTAAGTTTTAAATTTAAAAAAGTTTTAGTTTACATTTAAAAAAGTTAAAAAACATGATAGGAGATTCTAATTAAATATTTACATCACCACCCAAATATTTTTTTATTTCAACCTAATTTTAGTAAGCTCGTCTTAAAAATTGTAAAAATAAATAAACTTGAATATAATTTTGAATAGAAATATTACTATAGAAAAAAGCATTGGTTTTTTTTTTTAAACCCTTAGGGAACACAAATAAATTGTTTATTTGGTTAAATATTTCATATTCATTTCAAAAACATAATTAAAGTAACCACATGTTCAAAGTCTAGTACAATTCTTCTTGATCTTCAATAATAAATAATAATATTCATATGAACAAGTTACACCATTCCATAGACAATTTAATTTCCTTTAAGAATGCCAGAGGTTAATAAAATAGGTCTTCAAATTTAGCGGGAATTTTAATTCGAAACAGGGCACGCGCGCTGCCGAGCATTGCCATCATAGTACAGGCGCGGCTGACAACCACGTGACGTCACAGGGTGAATCGAGCGGGATGCAGGTCTCAGGTACACCGGCGGAGTGGTCTAGCCCTTACTAGCTACTATCCCCGGCCCTGCCTGCACCAGCACCACTTCCACCAGCAGAAGCCAATGGACAAGCACCGTCTGAGCATAGTAAGTCGGCGATCATGACAAACTCTAGTGTTAACATATTGCAACATAAAGGTCTTTCAAAATAAGAAATATGTGTACATCACTCAAAGCTATTCTTCCAGTATCCTTCTTTTTTTATGGTGCAACATTTGTGATGATTGGTACATACGTTTAGTGAGTACTACGACGATTTGTATTAGGCCTACTATCCTGATAATTACACCGCTAATTACAAGGCAAAAATGTGGTTTGGATTCCACTATAAACTATACCTCCATTAAGCCGGGTTTCCTCACCATTTCAAAGTTATTTGCAAAAACGTTAAGCAACCTCCCTATTATAGTGGTGAGAAAATACTGAATTAAAGATGTTGTTAAACTTTGTACAATTAAATCTACACTGCTACAGAACCGATTTTAATAACTAATAGGTCATTGGAAAGCCTAATTCGTGTAGATTTGCAAATATTTATGAATGTTTAATTTTTTTAAGATTTACTAGGTTACACCCGTCAAAGTCGACAGTTACTGTTTAGGTTGCAAGCAAGATCGTTGACTATAAATCAATGATAAATAACTCCATTTTTTTATCAATTTGGGTTGTTCGTGATTTAGCAGTGTGCGTTAGGTACGTCCGATCTTAATAATCAATCATTAAAATGGAAGCTGGCATTTCACTGAAGGTTCTTAGGTGAAAAGAACCTGCTTTTGGATAATCTTGGAGAACGGCAAATAAGATAACGTCATTAGAATTGAGTAAATATATCTAAAACTAAATTCCATATCCAAGATATAAGCAAATTTATGTTTTATGATTGAGCGATACAGTATCTTGAACTTTACTGATTGAAACTATCAACATCTCTAATGAAAACCATTATTTCTAGAAGTATTTTAAGACCAAGACATATAAAATAACTCAAATAAACGTATCATTGATTGCAGATTAGTACTAAAACGATTATAATTATTGTTGGTTCATGATTCATCAGTGTGCTTTAGGTAGTCCGATCTTAATAATCAATAGCTCAAATGAAAGCTGGTATTTCACTTAAGGTTCTTAGACCAAAACATATAGGGTAATGTAATTAGAACTGCTGAAATACATCATTAATTGAAGTAAAAAAAATTAAATTTGTTTGTCGAGTAATACATTAGATAAATGAATGATTATACTTGATGACAAATATGTGCTTGCACAGCTTTATTTTAAAACCAAAATTGTGAAAATCGGTCAGGTAGAAGAGCCAAATGAACTCGAAAACCCAAATCTAACTCCCATAAGAAATGTACGGGGAGGCAG